TTTCTTATTTGTATTCAAAATATAATCTAAAGAGAGAGAATAATAGTCTTGAAATTGCACATGCAGACTTAATGTTTGTAAGATCGCAAGGTCAGAGCACTTTTCCTATTCTATCTTATTTGAGCAATACATTGCAACAAAACAAATTTGGAAGAACAACCTTTTTGGATTTGTTTCTTTTTTTATCAGCTGTGAAGTAACTGAAATTGTATCTACCACGTGAAACGAGGGCATGGTTTTCACACAGGTATATTAATTCACACTATCTTGAAGTTTAGATAGCCTATGTAATAACAATAAAGCTACAGCACAGGTTTTTCAAGTGCTAGCAATATTCCTACACACACTTTTGGGCGCTCTGCCAGTTCTGCTAGCTAACATGCTGCCTTTGGGTGCAATAAAGCTGCTAGAGCTACGCTAAACTAAGCTAACATGCTGCAATCACACCTTCGTTGCACTATGTGGACATCTTTAGACTCAACCTAAGCGAGTTTATCAGGTAAAAGCAATTTTGTCTTGAAATTAGTAAAAGATTAACTTTGAAGACACTGAATTTACTAAGTAATTAAATTACATGTATAAAGAGGAGAAATAGAAGTGTATTTTTTAAATCCCCCTCCCCCTGGACTGAATTGTTCTGGAAATCACAAAGATAAAATTAAAACAACTTTCCTCTTCTGTGTTTGGCGTATCAGCAACATAATGATCCAAACTGTCTTTGGTTTTAGGAGGTCTGAGGAGGAGGGGGTTCACCAGATCTTAAGGCAATCCTTTCAACATTACTGCATCCACTGCTCACAGTAACACACTTTTCCATTTACCTGAAGACTGGTTTCGCTGCTTCTCATACAGCACATTATGAAAATCAAATTCACAGGTTCTCTCATTCTTCTGGGTTGGACCCCTATAATTTTATACTCTGTACAAAACCACTTGCAAAATTAAGATGTTAAAGATAATTATTTAAATAATGTATTCTTATTGAGGTTTTGGACGAAGGGAAGGGATTGGGAAGAAAGTCTACACCTTACTAATCCATTACATAGCTCATAACAGCACTATCACCTACCTTTCTACAGAAGCATAGCTGTGACACACAGTTTTTCTATCTGCGTAAGACTTAGAACATGGAAGCCTAAATATAAAGATGCAAATCAAACATGTTATGTTCATAAATAAAGACTCTGATTGAAGTGAATTCAACTCTCAGTGGAACACAATGTCTGTGCGCTTTGAACAACACAGATATTTACACAGTATTTTACAGTTTGTTCATTTAAATTTAAAAAAGCTTTCAAATTTGAAAACTACACTTGTAACTTTTTGCATAACATTCGACTATTAATTAACGTATATCAGAAAAACTAAAAAAATTAAAAGTTAACTAGCGGCAGGTATTTTTAGCATGGTCCCTTGACTCAGTGAACTACGTAAGTTGATATTAAGCAACACTAAGGACGTGGTAGAGCTAAATAATTACCATTTTCCCAGTGGAGGCATGAAAAACATGTATTTTGGATGCAGTTCAGTCTTACTGAATATTTAACTCAGGTTAAAATATTTAGCTCAAATGCAAAGGTCTGCAGTTGGTCAGATGAACTCCATTCCCACGTGACTTCTTAAGGAAGAAGTCTAATAGCCTTTCAGATATTAGGTTTCCTTTCTTAGAAAAGACAACTAGGGTCATATCAACCTTCCTCTACATGTGAACTTATTCACATTACTGAATCCTTCCTGTTTTTCTGTCATCATCCTCAAAATAGACTGAAAAATAAACATGTTTTTGTTCGAGAACTGCAAGGTCTGAATATCCCAGGTTCAGGGAGGAATAAAGCATGGAATATATGATTGCTCACATATTGAGAAACTGAGATGTTTATGTTACAATTATGTTTAACTGCAATTATGATGAAGAATAAATTGTAATTATGAGCACAGAAAAACAACTAAACCAGAGAATTATCAACACCAGAGAATCCAAATACGCAAGCATACAGCCTGAATATCAATCTTTGGCTTTTTTCAACAGACCCTTGCCTATTAGTTTTCTTCTTTCAAAACAAGAATGTCCCCTTAAGCAACAACACAGCTTAGACTGGAAAATGGACTTACAAAATGTCCACCTTCAAAATAGTAGTAACCTTCTCCTCCCTTACAAACGTCTAACCTTACTAGGTGTGTATATATTTAGAAGTTTGTTTGGCAGGAAGCACTCTTCATGTCTAGATTTCTGTTTTCAACTACCCCCAATTTTTCCATTCAGGACATCTCAGCAATTATCTCTTGCTGAGATTGACCTGAAACTAGGAACTCACGTTCCTAATGGATATAACTGGACCATCAAAAAGGCAGGACTAGACCATCCACACAAAAAAAGGTCTATCTTTACTTTTCAACAACAAAGAAATGCAAATCCCAATTTTAAGTATCAAAAAATTATAATAAAAGCACTTCCTGGATTTTACATCCAACAGATACTGCATAAAATGCATAAACCATCCCCCCAAATACTCTGCTATCCATTGACTTCATTACATAAATTTTGCCTTAACAGGCTTTCCAAGCCCATTCCTGACTGGCTGCTTTTCTCGGCTTGGAAACCAAATTGTACCTATATGACTAAGTTTAGCCTTAGATAGTATTCCATTTATTCCCTGAAGCACCATATGGAGGATTCTTCATTTTTAGAGTGGTTTACCACATGTTATATTTCGATCTGATATGGCACATACATGACTGTAATTCTCATGACTTTTTGGAATGATACCCCACTGTAAGACTGAACTCTTCTTTTCATAAAAAAGTTTTGTATATTGTTTGTGCAAGGTATATGAATGAGATTAAGTAAGTTCCCAATTACTCATTAATTTAAGTTATGCTAATTATTGTTATCCAATTTAAATAAATAATGGTTTGATAAAATGCCAGTATAAAGCAGGTGTCCCGAAAGCGGCAGAACTAATAGCCCAAATTCCTATGGATGATTTTATGTTCTATTCTCTCAATGATTGTAATACCCAAAGTCCTGCCTACATCCTTACGCCTTTTTAACTATATAATTACTGTCCCTCCATGCTTCCTAAATGTTCTTTACTTATTGTGAGTACTCACGTGGATCTTTCACATGCAGTAGCCTTAGCTACTTCCAGATCACCCACGACCTTCTCATCCTACTGCAGTACTGCCAAGCTCCCAAGAGTTTCAAAAGACAGTACTTCATTCAGAGGTAGTGATTTACTGACAACAAATGCACATTGGCTGGCCAACAACTGGTAGGAGCACACGTTGTCTGCTTTTCCTGCGGTGAGAACACTAACCATGTAATCCCCTGGAAGCACCCAACCCTCTACTGAAGTTTGAAAATGGAGAGTTGGTTCAGAAGTTATTAGGGAGAGACTAACAGACTGATCACGTAAACTTCTTTTTCCCTGGAAATCTGGTTAATGAAAAAGTTAATTCTTAGAATGCAATTGCAAATAAACAAATTAAAAAGTTATTATGACACAAATTCACAAAAAATATAGGATTAGGGAATAGGTATTTTTAAAAGTGTACACAAGACAGTCACTTCAGACTACTACTATCTTTATTTTCCCTCCTCACACCTAGTAATAAAGATGCAAGTATATTTTTCCGTTGTGTGCTGAAACCATCTTTCCAGATTTCCCATAAAAAAATAAAGCTTGCCAACATGTTTTTTCACATGTAAGAGTGAAAGCCTTTACAGATGTCTGCCCACAACCTATCTCACAAGGTAGCTGAAAATCCAAGAATTACTGGTTTTGCTTTGCAGTGGCGTACAATTTTGGATGAATAAACTACTGTCGTACTTTTAAATCCAAAAGAGTGGTACAGGAACTTCACAGGCAGCTTTTTCACGACATGCCAAAAGGCAGGGCATGTTAGCTACTCAAGTGTCAATGTTCAAATGCTACAAACCCCAGTGCAGTAAAATCAGCCAATTATTCAAGGCTAGCAGAAATTTTCTAAATTTACATAAAATAACCCAATTCAGATTACCAAATTTAGTATGTAGACAGCTACATCACAGGCACAAATATGACTTCTCAACATGCATTTTGATCATTATTTACACAAGTAGCATGAAATTTTAATCATCAGTCATATACTGCTATGCAATATTAACTATACTTTAAAACTACAGCTCTTAGAATCCATATGTATATATTGTAAACATCTTTAAGGACAAAGAGGATGACAATTTAATAACACATTTTTGCCTAGAAGAACAGGATAGTCCCTATTCTGAAAGATATTTAAATTTACAAGTCAGCAAAATGGGAAGCACTGAACTTCCTCTATGGAGAGAGATGGTTTTTATCACACGGCTGAGGATGACACTTTTTATTGTTTCCTCAGTAGCTTCATAAAACATCTTATGGGTAAGGCTACATTAGTCTGCTAATGACACTACATACAGATCCTCTAAATTCTCTTCCCTTTTTATGGTATCATAAAACGTCTCTCCCAAAAGACCAAATGCCTTCTCTTTCAGACCTCAGTGCCATTCACTGTGCCACATAACTGAGGGACAACCACACATCCTAGATCCAGTCCCACTTTTCTCTTCCTGTTGCAGTAAATATGGGAAAAAGTGAATTTTTCTAGATTCTTGTGGAATACCTATTCTCATCCTTCCAAAACAATGACATTTTCAATAGATGCGGTTTACCGAAACTAATTATTAAGTGTATTGTCTTGCCACAAAGCCCTCAATAAACTGACATTTAGTGGGCCACACATAAAAACTACACACCAGAGGGAACTTAGCTTTTCTGTGTCTACATGAAGCGATCCATTTCTAAACCAACTTCTGAAGCGTAAAATACTATGACATTCTGATACAAACCTGCCCCTTTATACCATTAGTAAAATGCAAACTGTTTAGGGGTTTTACAAAGACAACTCCTGCATTCATGGAAGAAAACAGTTCTGTGGATGATTGTTTTTATAATTTAGCTCTTGAGGTGGCTGTACATTGTGAAATTCAAGTTCAGAAAAGCCAAAGGTACTGCAGTCAATATTGCCATGAACAAATCTCTAAAAAAAGCTTTCCCTAGACAAAGATAACAAGATATCAGCTGTTAGTGTATGTTCTTAAACTTAAACCTAAACCAAATGAAAAGTCTATGGTCAGTTTCAGTTGGTTTTAAGCCTCATTCACCTTTGGTTCTCTATTTGTGAAAAGGATTTATTCCTTTCTTGTTAAGACAAGAGAAATGTCAAGAGACTGTCGTCATTCATGGTCAGCTCAAGATCATCTAAATGAACTAATCTTTAAATGTGCCTTGACATTAAGACTTCAGAAAGACGTGCCCACATCCAGCATCTTCCTTGGCCACATTCATCTTGTTTAATTATTATTGTTTGAACAATATATAAATTAGACCTAGTCAAAGTGAAAGAAATGCTGCTCCATCAACACTCTACGAGTTACAGTAACTGCAACTGCCTTAGAACTTCTGTGCAAAATACAGGTGAAAGCAAAGAATTTAAGCCACTAAAAACAACTGTTTGGAGGGAAGCCATTTAGAAGTCAGTTATTTTTACCAGAACAGAATGGGTAAAGACAGTCTGATCACTAAGTAAAACAAGAAGTAAATAAACCAGTTGGTTCAAAGCACTAGAAACTGTTTTTAATGCAAAGTCGTATTTTGTTTTCATGTCTGGTTTAAGTCCGTATTTCCCACCATGACTGTGCAATAATAGCACTTTGCTAAACCATGAAGGCTTGAACAACTCCTGAAGCATCAGTTCTTCCCCATCAGGATTCTAACTACTTACAAAATACAGTCCCATGCATAAAACGACCAAAGGAAGTTGGAAGAGGGAGAGGGAGACAACAGAATTGGAAATAAAAGATTAAACAAACTGGATATAGAAATGGTAAATACCTCCTGCAGAAAGCAGCTTTACTACATGAAACAACCGAGCGTCTCTAACCCTCTGCTTAATTTTCCTTTGGAATCCTCTATTAACTTCCTACAGTCTAGCAAGAGATTTCTTGACCTGACAAGGCTAGACATTTATTATTATGGCAGATAATGTGGGAACATAAAAGATTAAACAAACTGGATATAGAAATGGTAAATACCTCCTGCAGAAAGCAGCTTTACTACATGAAACAACCGAGCGTCTCTAACCCTCTGCTTAATTTTCCTTTGGAATCCTCTATTAACTTCCTACAGTCTAGCAAGAGATTTCTTGACCTGACAAGGCTAGACATTTATTATTATGGCAGATAATGTGGGAAGCCAACAGCGTAACCAATGATTTTTGTAAAGGTTTTTGCTTCAGTTCCTTCTGAACTTTGATTCCAACCAAACCATTGTTCAGAATCAGACATTATTAAGAGAGAAAGTAAAACAGCATGCTAATATATAATGAAAATAATTTAAAAGGCATGAAGTGCATGTACCTGAAGAAAATTGACATTCTCCATGACAAAAATGAAAACCCCCGGGTTTGTTCTAAAAGAGAAAGATTTCGGAAATACAACTAGCTTGTATGCCTTTAAAAGCAATGCTTACATAATCCCACATACTCCTCCATGAAGATAACTGAATGAACAGCTACATACTTACTCTGATTAAAAAAACCCACAATTCTTTCCCTCCTAGAAAACCTATTGTATGTATGAACCCTACTCTGCATTGGGTTGATACAGCCAAATGTGAAGTGAATGGATGCTGAAAGCAAGTGCTGCACATGAAGTCCTTTACCTGACCGGTTTGTTCTCAGGGCCAATGTCTCTGAAGCCCATCTCTTCCAGTCTGCAGCGTCTGTACAACTCATAATGTCGTGCGTGAGTCTGCTCTCTTAAGTCTTCCATATTTGTGCAAATAAGCATCTCGCGAAGCTTTACAAAGTCACAGTGGTTCTCATTTTCCACTAATCAGTTAAAAGAGGAAGATTTTATTACTATGCACAAGTAGCAAAATTGTCAAAATATATTTTAAACAGCGTTGAGCTTCATTTATTTTGTTTACTAATTATACTTCCAGGAAAAGGTATCTCATTGTTTAATTATACCTCTGATACTTCCTTATAATTTCTAATATACACATTGAAGCACTAACTGTGAGGACCGGTGAACATGTTCCAACACGTCCTGATTTCCTGTTCAAGTTGAATAACGATAAATTTCTCTCTTTTTTTCCCTCTTCTTTATTGACAGTCATAAAACTTTGAAATTTGGTAGTGCTAGAGGCATTGCCACCGTACTAACCTACCCAAATATTACATACATCATCTCATAGCTTGATTCCAGGGATGCATCAGTGCTAATGAAACTACCAGTTAGTGCACACCTCAAGTATTAATTGCTAAACTCCTTAAACCGTTGATCCAAAATACAATCAATATGGCATCAGTGGCTAATACCAGCCCCTTTGAGTATTGGTGAATTTTATACTTCAACAACAACAATCTCGTAAAAATACCTTTGAGAATTCATTTACCTTGTACAATGCCCCAAGGGTACTGACGAGCTCTCACCATTTTGTTTCCAATTTTCACCTCTTCCGTACTTCCTACTATGGCAAATGGCAAATGCCCCTGTAAGAGTCACACCAATACAGTCTTATCTCTCAGCATTCTTATGTCAGAACTGAAAAGCAAACACTTCAGAAATAAATTAGGGGGAAAAAACACCATTTCAGGAAAAGCCACCAGGCAGTTTCAAACCAAAAAACACTTTGAAGAGATCAGTCGCTAGTCAAACTACTGATACAAAAGTCAAGCTACAATAACAAAACTGGGAGGAGCGGTAGATTGACCAGATGGGTGTGCTGCCAATTCAGAGGAACCTCAACGGGCTGGAGAAATGGGCCAACAGGAATCTCATGAACTTCAAACGAGAGCAATGCCAAGTCCTGCACATCAGGAGGAATAACCCCATGCTCCAGCACATGCTGGGGGCCGACTGTCTGGAAAGGCACTTTGCAGAAAAAGATGTGGGGCTCCTGGTGGACAACAGGTTGGACTTGATTCAGCAGGTTTGCCCCAGCGGCAAAGGCAGCCGACTACATCCTGAGCTGCATTAGGAAGAGTATCAGCAGTAAACAGAAAGCTGCTCTAAACACATCCCTCTGATTCGCGTTCAGCCAGAGTTCATACCCCCAGTAACAGTCATGCGACGATCACAGGTTTGAACCCTGAGGTATGGTTACTGCTGCGGGCTCAGCCAAATGGCCAGACACACAGGCTGGGTACTGACTGCCTGCGTGCTGACCCACAACAACTGACCAAATAAAAAGAAAATATCATTAACTGGAAAATAATTCACTAGCAGAGCATGAAAGGGGTAAGTACCAGACCACCACCTTTCCCCACAGCAGAAGGACCTGTTATAGAACGACAGCCTGCACATCCTCACTCCCTGGCACAAGGGACAGAGGTTGGGACTGCAGAGCCGTACACTCCGGCATACCGGCTCCTCCTCCCCGCTTTCAAACCCCAGTACGTGCATCTACAACCATAGGCACATGAAGAGCAAATACGGACAGAGTGCTCAAAGCAAAGACGTCTAGCTTCACAAGCTTAGTTGAAGCTGACACATAACTCCTGGGAGGATCTGAAGGGACAATAGTAAAAAAGCCAGAATTGTATCTGACTTTTTAATCCCCACAGAAAATTTGTCCTAATTTCAAATGAAAGTACTAAATAAAAGCAAAAAGCAGATGGAAGACTTGCTATCATAGAGACCAGAGAAAATTGGAGAAACGAGGCACTTGAGTATCTTCCCTAACAGATGTAAGGTAGTATTTGCTGAGGAAAAGAGCAAAGCCAATCTGTCATGTTATTAATTATATATTAATTATCCAGAAATTAGAAAAAGTATTTATGAGTGAGAACCTCTTTTCTGTTGCTGAGCCAGAAAAGAAAAAGCCTCTTAAAATAAGTGGTATCAATAGCAGAGGGACAGGAAGATTTGCGAGTAGGGGAAAAAAACCCAAAACACACAAGCTTTTTAAGGAGAGAGAAAACTAAACAAACGCACTTGTTACATACAAACCTATAAGCCTCAAGATAATGGTGAAAGAACAGGCATGAATCGGCATTAGAGAGTGATGCTTTAGTACTGAAATATCAACATTTTTGTCATTTACTTACATTCATGATGGTATTAATTTTAGAAACGGTTTCATCATCAGTTGGAAACTGGTATATCTGGATGCCATTACTAACTAATTCACTCATGATTTTGTTCTTGAACTTCTGTAGTTCGGTTTTAGAAATGCTGTCTGCTTTGCCTATAATTGGTATAATGTTCACCTATTAATGATACAAATTATATGAAATGTGTAAGACTTCAATTTTGAGGTGACATCTTTTATAAATTAAATTGTTTGGTGATAAGCTCTTTAAAACTTCCCCCACAGTCCAAACTTTTCCATCAATTGATATCAAAGCTTCACAAACCATGAAAAATACATTCACTGGCATCATTTAACAAAATAACAACAGATTATTTAATATACTTCCTTAAAATTAATTAATTCTGAGAAAAGAACACGGAAGGAGGTCTCATACAGCAAAGTACTCAAAAGAACAGCAACACCTACTTATTAACTAAATGACATTAAGTATCTATATCTCTGCTAAAAAAATAGATTGTTTTAGTTTACAGCACCGGGGGACGTGGTTCAGGTGTTAAATGAAAGTTGACAGTTTAAATACACAAAGAAAAGGAAGCTGGCTACCAAACCCTGCCTACCCCTGAGCCTCTTCCTTGGGTTCCTTTCAGCTACAACAGCATCTTGTTCACCTCACCACTGCAGCAAAGAGTTTCTCAAGTATCCGCTGTGAGCAGAGGAATGATGAAGACTGAAGAATCTTGCTTACCAGTCTTCACACTATTTATTCAGAACTCGAAATTCAGTTCTAGTAAGGTAAACTGCCCTATTTCCTAAAACAGTTATGACAGTAACTTAGGAAGGTAGTAGATGCCAAATTTTTCTTAAAAATACTATCACCACTCCCCAAATATCAGTTTTTCAGAACTAAATACAAAGAATTGATGCCAATGTCCAAATATTTTGGAAGAACAATACAAATAATTCTTCCAGATTTCAGAAGACGAGAGTTTTACAGAGTTCCTTGATCAGAGATGCAAAAAGGAAGGAGGAAAAAAAAGAAAAAACTCCGCACACATTCTTTTTATTCTTCTGAACAGTCTGTCTGAATGGAAATGCATGGAATCTCAAGAACGGATTCAAAATGGATGTTTTTGAAGTAAGTCTTCTGTCTTAAGCAAAATGTCCAAATGAAAAAAAATCATGCCAACTCCAAAGTATGACTTCTAAGATTACCTGATGATAGTCCTTAATTGTGTAGCATATGCAGCCTAAGCACGTATGGGGTAAAATATCTAAAATCGAATAAAATGCTAGAATATTTTTTTATAACTGAGTTAATGTAGGATTGTACAAACAATCTATTACAGGTAGGAGTAATTCGCAGCTTCAATCAAATTAGCTGAGGGACATCAATTTAGGTTTTCTAACATATAGCTTTAAAAATGGATGGAACAGAGTCCTCAGAATTAAATTAACCTTTACTCTGACTTTTCAACATGAAAGTTTTTCAAGCACTTGTTAATTAGGAGAGAATTTCTTAGATAATGAATAGCAGAGAAAGACTACTGAGGAGACCAGTAACAAAAGAAAAGCAAAATCGCTAGAAACTGTGATTACAGCTATCAACATTGATGTTAAATCACAACCATTGTATTAAAATTTAAAAGCAATACTACTCTGGGTTTAGATAAGCAACAACAAAGTTATCTTTGCTTAATCTGTTAAAATTAATTTCTGCTTGCAGCATCTAAGGTTCACTTGAAAACTTGTATCTCGGTACTTTCATCCAAGAATAACATTAATTGAAAGCACGCATTTGTACTAACAAGAGACGTAAATTGTATTGATTTGGACCACAAATAGATGTGCCCCGAGTCCCACTGCTCCCTCCTATGCCTACTACTCACTCGGAAACCAACTGACTCCCTTCCAGCCTCTTCCCCAGCTACACCTACCAACAACTACAAAACTGAATTTTGCTATAAAGCTGTAGGCCATTAATACAGAATCACTTTAAGCCCACATAAAAAGTCTACGCTTGCGATAAAACCAACAGTCCTGCCCTTCCCCTTGCCTGCAGCTGCTCATTGCCAGGTAGAACTAAAACCTGTGCAGCAGTCCAAGGAGACAGATTACTTTTCAGCTTGATCTCTAACCAAACAGAAATCTTTAGCTTCCAATAAACATCAGCCCCCTCATCCAGGGAACTGGCTGCCCAAAACACTTAAGCATGCGCAATGGGAAGAAGCAGCTGAGACTGCCTCGTTCAATAGCAATGCAGAATGACCATATAAAGTCAGCAGGACAAACTTTATCCTGCACCTTACTTCTCTGTTCGCTAGCACCAGATTCAGCCCTCTGATCATCCTTCTGTTGGAAACGCAAACTCTTGCCTCCCCCTCCCCCCCAATTAGAAAACATGCTATTACTCTAAACGAAGATTTTCATGTAACACCTTACATTAATGTCAAACCCTCTGTTGCCCCTTTATGCTACAGAGAAGGAAAAAAAAATACATATACTTGGAATTATTACTGGTTGATATCTTGCAGGCTAATTTAAATGTATCTCTATGACTCAATACAAAAATTTCCAAAGATTCTTTTCGAAGGGAAAAAAAAAAACAAACTCAAACCCCGCAAGGTACACTCATGTAATTTCCTGACTTAACAGTATCTGTATATCATTCTGCAAGAATGACTTGAAAATGCAGATGTATTAGTTGAATAATCACTGGTTCCCAGGAAGAAAGCATGCAGAAGAAGATTCCCTTAATCTGTGAATGAAACCTGGCTGGTCTGTAGTGATTCAGTCCTAAGCAGAACTACAGGGCTTTCCAATGTCTTAAGAGCTAGAGGCCAAATTCTTAGCCAGTCATCCAATTTATAAGCAATAGCGAAAAATTAATTGCCCACAGATACATCTGTTTTTTTCTCCCAGGATTATAGAGTATAGGATGTCCCTATCCTATTCCAAGAATCCTCTTTACCTCTGAGCTGTGTAATCTGGTCTTGTTTTGTACCAAGCAGACTGTAACAAAAGTGTAACAGTGTACACTGTGGTGGATTTAGGAAGAAACTGAAGACAACTTTTGACATAGATTTACACACTCCATGTATGCATGTTGCTGTACCGCCTTCTCTTTATGGAATCCTGTACTCGGCCAACGTGCCCAGGGACTTCCACATCCTGGGAAAGCTCAAGTTCTGAATTGCCACCAGGAGAATGCAGTACTAAAAGCATCACAAACATATTCCACAATGAGATGGAAACCAAACTACAGTTGAAGTATATACTTTTTTTTTTTTTGTGTATATTTGTATTTCTCTGGTAAGATCAGAAAGTAGAATCCATTGCAAAGGGATAAAACAACAAAGTTCCATGCTGTTCCACGTTCTCTCTGAGCCAAAGCACAACCAAAAATATTTAGAGTAGGTGGCCAGAAGCTAAAATCCCCCAAAGCAGAATTACTTTCATTCTATCCTGATGGAAAAATATTTTCTCAGGATGCTGGGACTCATGGATCTATTTCCTTTTCTTTTGGAAGAAACGGTCTTTTAACGGGAGTTCAGTAAAGAGAGGGCACAACCTAGAAACCAAGTATTTTTGTGGTTTAACACAACCTCCAACTTCAAAACTCAGAGTAGAACAATATGCTCCATGAAACTGACCCATTTTCTAGTATCAAGGCTCTTTAGTTACCAGTGCGTGTTACAGAGTAGTTTCACAACCATTTTAATCTGGCATAAACCGACACCATAGCAGAAAGAAGTGACCCTGCTCTCCCCTACCTTTGTGCCACCATACCTCCTCCCAGCTTGCTCTGTGCTATTGAGAAAGCTCAAAATGCAAAATACATTCACAAACAAAATTACAAAAATACCAAATGTGCTCATCAATCACAAATGTGGAATAGACAGCTGATTTGATCCTTGTTATCTTGAAGAAACATCTCACGAACAAGAAAATGCAGAAAGAAAATTTAGCAGGAGAGGTTCTAGTAAAGCACAAGGGAAAGGGCTAGAGGAACAGCAAATGCATTTAAGTTTTCAAATTTCTCCAAATTTCAACAAATTAAACCCAAATGATGTAAGGTTTCTTAAAATGGGTTAAACATTTAGCTTCATCCAGTTCACACAGCCCCATTACAGGAAGAAAGTTAAGAATTTAGAAAGTGCAAGTAATCACACTAGAAACCTCTATTTTAAAGCTTTCAAAAGAAATCAAGACGTGAAGTTTAAAACACCAGTGCGGCCTATCTTAGAAAAAGCCATGCTGGCAGGGTGTTCTGTTCATGGCACTTGCCTCTTCAGTTATCTATAACAAAGATCTTCACAGTGCTGCAAACCTTTTTATATGCCAACTTTCTGGCAGTCCCGAAACTCGATAGTGAACTAGAAACAAGCTTAATTAGAAATGTTACAGCACTCATGGAGGGTACCCTATCCAATCACAATAAGATGTTAACAGTTTGTTAAAAGTAAAATTGGTGTGGTTCTAATTTTTTTTACTTTTTTTTTAAACCTCGTTGTGCTTCTTTTTTCAACGTTCTTCCCAGATGTCCCTCTCTCTCCTTTTGATTTGTAAATAAACAGATGATGAACTGCAAGCTACTTGCAGAAGCAATTTATTCCGAACTTAAGGTATACCAGTACTAAAAAACATCCCAAAACCAAACACACAGATATAGAACTGAAAGGTGGTAGAGGATCTAAAAGCTGCAAGATGCTTCAGAAAATAAGACAAATCCTTAGAACTCTGTTTCAAAGTCTTACCTTGCTGTCTAGGCTTTTCATGGTTAACAAATCTAGGGTTTTTAGGGAATGGCCTGTAGGTGAAATGAAATAGAGGCAGACATGGATGCGAGTATCATGGTAGCTAAATAAAGAACGTTTAATTTTCAGTTCTTCCTGGAGATAGGCTTCGAATTGTGCATCTATATAATCCACTATTGGCTGATAGCTGTAAGAAATAAAATTTAACAACCAGAGATTAGCTACTCCTAAACAGAGCCAGACTAAGAAAGGAATTCCTCTTGTTTTGTTTTGTGGATTTTTGCATTACATGTCAAAGGGCTGCTCAAATATCTATCCAGTACAGCAGAAAATTAAAAGTACAGAGTAATCTCAATTTCTGAAAGGCTACTCAAAAAAGAATTGTGCACCTAATACAGATAAAACATTTCCTAGCTACTATTAGTGAAAAAAGCTACGTAAAGTTAGTTATGACTATAACCGATCTTCCCAAGTGATGTTTTATAAATTTTTGCAATCAAGCTGTGCAACTGCAGAACTCTTGGATACAAGGAAGGTACAAGAAACCCTTAGATACAATACAAGAAAAGAAAGAACGTGCAATTACCAGTACCAAGAAATAGGACTTCCTTTATCTTCTGAAGATGAAGTACTGTACATGAGAGAGCTCTTAAACAATAGACAAAAATTGAAAAGGAGGAATGTAAGAGAAGAATGGAAATCTGATTTGCAATAAGTACAGTTTAAGTATACTTTATCCTACTTAAAACTAGATCATAATCTGCTTTCTAAAAGAAAGGGTTGCTAGATGTACAAGCAGCATGCCCTTACATTTCTGCTGCTACACAAAGTCTATAAACCAGATCAAATGCTATCAAAATTCAGAAGTAGTTGTTACACACAAAAAAATTAAAAGGACTAAGAGGCAGCTCCTATACCACACATCAAAACCTCTAATATCTATACTAATATCTACTCGCATCTCATTCATCCAAGCGACTAGCAGTAGCTATTTTCCAGTCATATCATAAGCCATAGCTCTCATGATAATCTTAATGTGACTCTCTAACCTTCATTTATAATTACCACCATTTAGGTGCTCATATAGCACAAAGGATTGCTAAAATTCTTTACAATTAAGGTGAAAGAAACAAAATCTGCTGAGAGACAGTTCAGTATTTTAAAATCTTCAATTCATAAAAGCAGAGACTCAAAAAAAGTTCTGAGACACTAGAGTTGTACCTCTACATCTTCTGATTAAGCTGTCCAACATAAAAAACAAAGGCCTTCAGTAATCCACGTGATGTTCCTTCCAGTTCAAGGTCTTCAATATGTTCCAATCAAATTGTTAAAAACCCTGTAGATCTAATCTGTACCATCTACAGTACCTTATAACCTGTTCAGTTGTTTAAAAAGTCTCCCGTTGACCTTCCTGCTTTCCTCCATCCCAAAAGAAACTCTAGTCACTATTCCACATTTTATTTACATATATTTATAAAAGCTTATGTCATAAAGAAAGGGGCAGAGTTCATCTGATTTCTCAAACCATTTCCTAGATGAGAAGAAAAACATGTTTACTTTGGTACACAGAGATAACAGTTACCCAAATATTTGGAACATATGTAAGACAAGTATTTACTACAAAGCCCAAAGAAAAATCAACTTGTAGTTGAAGACCAAAACTTCTGCATACCATAGCAACAAGAGGGCACTTACCTGTCTTCTTTGTTTATCTGGTCACCAAATCCCACTGTATTTACAATGGTCAGCTTCAAAAGAACATTACTTTCCTGGAGTTCATAAGTCTGGGCTCTAAGTCGTACACTTGGCAGAAAATGCGTTGACATAGGGTCATCAAAATTGGTATTAAACAAACTGTTTATCAAGGTTGATTTCCCACTTCCAGTTTCCCCTAAAGTTAAACAGAAGGGTTGGGGAAAACATTTTGCACATCAAATAAATACCTACTAAGCATAGAAAGTGTTATCACAGCAACTCGACAAATTTACACAAAAACTTGTCAACTGATTTCTCCGAGCAAAATGGTTGCCTGCATTCCTTTTTCATAATGAGCACTAAATAACTTCTAGTTAATTTTTTCATCCTACAGGTAAGAGAGAGTTACCTGCTAATGAGTAGTAAGCAGAACAGTCTCTTGACATTTTCATTTCTTTAAAAGTGCGAACTAATTTCCTAGAGATTTTAAAAAGCTAAGTAACTAATTGTGAAACCACGGGATTAAACACAGTTTTTTTCTGAATATGGGTAAAATACTACATTTGATAAGTACAGAAGTACTTCAGTAGCACCACCTTGGAATTGTAGGGTTTTTTGATCTGAAGCTCTTTGTTACAGTAAAAATAGTGTAGCTCAGTTTACTCAAAAGAATCCAAGAAGTTGCTTGTAAATCAATAAATGCATGGCATCCATTTTCAACATTTTTGGTATTCATATTGTTTATGAAAATGCTAAATATAAAAACAAAGGATGGATACAAATAAGCAAAGCTGGGGGAAGGGGTGGAATTACAGTTCATGCTTAACGTTAAAGAAAGAGTTCAACATTGCAACTGGATTTGAATTTCAGTCACTTCCTACGGATGGGTATACCACTAAAGCCTTAAACCACCCGGATACTACTCACCAATGCAAAGAATGTTGAAGCAGAAGCCCTGCTTGATGGATTTTTTAACCAGTTGATCAGGTAAACTACCAAAACCAACATGCCCGGACAAGGATAAGGTTCGATAGCCATCATTTTGCTACAGAAAAATCATTTAAAAATATGTTAGTGAAGTGAGTTGCAAAGCAATTAGCAAAGGCAACAAAGGATCTCTACTAGTAAGCTAGAACTCATTCCTTATGATTTACATGAAACCAAGAAAAGCAAAAGTCTGAAAAAAGATCTGTCAAATCAACTTTATTCCATGATTTGAGAAAACATTCAAATTTACAGAACTATATGCAGGCTCAAAGTGAAGTCCATGTTTTGCAAAAAAAAAAATCATGAAGTAATCATGAAATAAAGCAGACAAGTCCAACTGAAAATGTAAACTGGAAACTGTAGACAGAAAACAGATCACAGTTGGTTTGCTCTTAGAAATGAAGAAAAAAAATTTAAAAACAATTTAACAGGCAGAATTCAAAACAGAGACCATAATCACAGGAAGGTGTATGTTATCAATCAGAACTCATTCTGAGTAGCTGGAATTGAAATTGTTATTTATAGAAAATCATACATTATCTACACACCAGAACTCTAAGAGATAATATTATATATATTATTAGGAATGTCTGGAGGTGCACATTCCTTTTCAAACGTCAGCTAGCAATCTAGCATCATGACATCAAGGCAATAAGCATAATAAAAATGCGTAAGATTAAAAGGAAATATCTTGGTTCATACAAATGAACTGTATTTTTAAACAAACATTCCATATCAAAAGTGTAAACAGTGACAGGTCCATGCTATTCTTTCTCTCACATTTCCAATCCACACGCCATTACTGGTTCCTGGGAACATGTATATAGTTAACAGTAGGAAAATTTTTATTTAACACTTACAAGCCCATAAAAGTGCCACCTTTTATAATAGGTATGAATAGCAAGTTTCAGAATTCTTGTAGTTAAAAGGATATGGACATTCCTCACAGCAAATACTCATCCTCTTCTCGTTTTGCCCAGGACTTCTTGTGTGGGACTACAGACTGCACTAACTCTCATTTTAGACTATTATAACCAGGTAACTCCATTTTAAACTAACATAACAAGGAAAAATGTGTAACCAAAGCGAACAATTTAAAGAGAAAATATGACATCTTAGGGCTATAAAAAAATCAAATGTTCATTCAAAGCATGTCTGAAAAAGAAATTTCTCAAGGTATTCTACCGTATGGAAATTACTATTAAAAAGGGCTGAGAAACACTGAAAACTGTCAATATCCTGTCCATTTAAAGACAAGTGTATCTGAGACAGAGTGGCAGCACATCTAACAACTATAGAATCATAGAATCATAGAATCTAAATACCTCCAGGGATGGGGACTCCACCACTTCCCTGGGCAGCCTCTTCCAATGTTTCACCACTCTTTCAGTAAAGAAATTTTTCCTTGCGTCCAATCTAAACCTCCCCTGGCGCAACTTGAGGCCATTTAGTATGGTTACATATAGTATAGTTACACAGTCTGATATTCAAACCACCTCTATCACCACCAATATAAGACAGTTCCTCTAAAATAAACCATTAAGCCTCCACACCGAGAGGCAGGGCAAGAGGCTCAGCGCAACCGCAGAAGGAAGCCTGTCATCTTCGTGTCACCAGCCTAAATCCAAACCGTGCTGGGCTACCCTCAGAGCCATTTCTGACTCTCCAAGAAAAAACCCTAGCAGAAAAAACTTTAGTTTCCTTCCAGTCCACTTGGATTTCAGTGGACAAACCACCAATACCTACAACCTTACTGACCATTTCCAGAGGTCATTAGAGTAACTACCACGTCATCCACAAGAGACTATGTCAGGATTAAAAAGCGTTTAGCTGAGGAAACTGGTGTTACAGCTGTATTTGCTGTACACAGCTAAGTGCAGAAACAGATGACTGGAGTCCTCATAGCCGTTAACTCTGTAACTTCATTTTCAAAAGGAAGGGAGAGATTAATTACAATTTAGCAATTAAACTCAAGAGTTTACTGTTTTCTGAAAACAAAAATCAACAATAATTAGTTCTTCCACTGTTATATTGGCTGTTTTTCACTGAAAATTTGACCAGATTTCTGTGTGAAACAGAGGACAATGAGAAATAATAAACGTGCAAAACAAGGTGCCTTCTCTGTGCTTCGCTTAGAAAGCTAAGGCTATGCTTGTAACTCAACAGACATCTGGCTGTATCACTACTTAAAAATTCGTATCAGACATCCAACATGGTTAATTTCTTTGTATTTCTAAGTTTCTCCCAAAGATGCTTCTTATGGATATGCATTGCAGTTAGGAAAGAGAGTAACAACTTCTGCAATAAGTATTTATGCAATTGCCAAGATATTCTGAGACATCTCAAATTTGCTGCTATTTTAAGATAGTTTATTTCATTTCTGCAGTACATAAGTTAATTTAATGACACTACACAGTTGTGAGTCAAAATTAAAACCATTTTTCTGGAAATGTACATATGTAAAAGTACACGAGACATTCTATGTCATTTCAGACACAAGACAAAAAATTTACACAAAACAGAAAAGTCCTGGTAAGTTGTAAAAACAGATTACAGAATCCGGTAGTTAGAAGAACTTCCCCAGTAGAGAAATTGTGTTCTATGCACAGTTTTCTTCAGCGCTGTCCTCAGGGAGGAAGAGACATACCATCTTCACTTTGTGCATGCAGAGATGACACAAAGATATTAGTTGAGATAATAAAGGGAAAGACTAAGAGAGCAAGAACATGAACCTCACTCACCCCAGGTGTAATTTAGCACCTTAACCACAAGATCACTCTTTCTAGTTCTTTCTGTCAGAGGTAATGACACAGTAAACCAAAAAAACTAACCACCACCCCCCAAAACCTCGTATGTTCACCAACTGAGTGTGACCCTACAATGAGAATGTCAGCGGCAGAATGTGCATAACCACAGGATAGGGGAAAACAAGAATTTCAAGCAGAAATAATATTATTTACATTCATGAGAACACGTTTTAATGTCTTGTCCTAAGGTTCTCATTTTAAAGAGGAGATTGACAAATCGAAGGATGATCAGAAAGGGATAATTCAGGGTCTCAGAAACCATCTGTACAGAGAAATAGTACAGAAAGATAGACTATGTAAGTTCTTTCATGAAAATGGCCAGAGTTTACTTGATTACGGTACATATGAAGAGGAGATTTCTGGTAGCACACACACGCAAAAAAAAAAAAACAACACTACATTAATAGCAAAACTTTAAAAGCTAGAGACAGAAAGATGCAGAATCTATTTCTATTTTAAAAATATATCTACATTTTTAGGGATTTTAACTGCTATTAAACTGTTCAGACAGTTGTCCTAAGACCCACAACGGAGTCCTCAGGAATCAGCTTCACCAAAAATGCTGCAATAAAAGCTCTTAATTTGGACTACAAAACTTTCAAGAAATATTGTGCAGCTCAACTTGAGACAGCCTCAGTCACGCGGATTTAGAAGCCTACCTTCTTGCACGGTTGTACTTCTGTTCTCCATGCAACAAACGTTACGGGACTGAGAGCTACTCTTCTCATTTGGAGACTCGCCCCCCTCCGCCTTCCTTACGGAAGAATCACTTTGTGAACCTGTTCCATCCGACATCGGTTGGAGCATTCTCTTAATAGAAAAGCAACAGCCTACATTTCTCCTTCTGAAATTTTCCAAGGGCATCACGTGTCTCTCCCTCAATGCCAGCACCTCATACAGCTTCCCCCTGCTGTGGTCTAACAAATATGCAGGGAAATTAAATCCACAAAACTGACCACGTGATGCCTGCATTCTTACTACTTTTCAAAGAAATAATATGTCATCCAGCTGAAAAACAAGTTACTACTGTATCACCAGTTTAGAAAAATGGTGACAACTCCAAAATTAAGAAATGTAAATCATGCTGAAAGCAATTAAGTCACCATACTAGCCAGTCTTTTCAAATCAGTATCTGTTGGAAGGAGCAGCTAAATTATGCTTGAAGACAACATCTCATCCAACTTCATTCAGTGAATAACTCAAAGCTTGTAATCTGAATGCTACAAAAGCTGTAATATTCCCGTAAATACTTCCTGCTTCTCACTGCTTTCTCAGAATTCATACTCTCATCAAAATAGCACACAATATAGATCGCTTGAGATGGTCCGAATCACATCTCACTCCTTCCCTCCCCTCCTTTTTAAAGGGTTGGTAGCATAGCTTTCACGGAACTGCATCTGGATTTCTGCAAATTCAGTTAATCAATTATATTGGTTTATATAAAGTCCTCTTGCCCATTAAAAACAGCGTGCAAAGAAAAATCATTGCCTGAGACAAAAGTATCATTTAAAAATTGTTTGGTTTTTTTTCTTTCAGAAACAAACTAAAAATAATTAGTTATCTTTTAAATTTGCCACCTATTTGAGGCTAAAACTGCGCAACGCCGGGCCATTCCACAGCAAAAGCTGGGTCTCAGACTACGTGCATCTCTCTGCATAAGCCTGCTGCAGAACCAGACTTGTACTCCAGGCAAACAACTAGCTTGCCACTCGGCTTGTAGAGATGACTGAAGTTTGCCCTCCCAAGCTTGAAGAAAAAAAGTAATCGATGCTCGTGTGCACAGGCAGGAGGCAAGGGTCCTGCCAGGCCCAGGCGGCTACGCAGGCTGCGCACAGGCCCTCGGAAGGATGCCTGGGCGTCAGCCACGAGGGTGGCCAACACGTTAACGTGCCCGTGGATGCTCCAAACACGGCTCTTTCAGAGCCCTGAGTTTTCCACTATCACAGACAGTTGTGGACATTCATTAAACCAGAAAATCTATTTTAATCTTCCAATAACAAATTGCATTACTCTCTTACAGCCAACTACTTTCCTCATAACCAAAGTTACATTTAGTCCAGTAAATATCAATGTTGCTATTGCCTCCTAACACGAGGTAAGTAGGAAACTAACCAGATTTTGGAAGCGAGCAGAAAAATACTTTCCATTTTTGGGTAGTCAAAATGTAAAATGTAGACGTGTGGTGTAGGCATGCATACCATTGACATCTCTCGATGTCGATACATGCGTGAGAGAGAGACAGAGAACAGATGGGATGAGTAGAGGGAACAGAAAGGAAACCTTGGCAAAATAACACAGAAGAGAACAGAAAATATAGGAGGATGAGGTAGAAAAAAATACAAAGAAAGAAAAGGCCATGAAGATGCAGAGTAAGAAAGGAGGTACATTAAAAATTACATGGAATTAATACATCAGTCTATTCTTTAAAATAAAAAGCAACACACAGGAGTCAAGTATGGAACAAAACATTCCCCAGAAAAGGTGTGTAGGAAAAAAAAAAAGCATTGGCCAAAAGACAATTCAATGAAAACTCATTTGACAATTTCACTCACAGTTATCATGTAATTTATTCAGTATGAGAGAAACAGTAGACAACTTCTAGGGATTGGTCCAAACATCAGAAGCCCCGGATTCTTCCCTCATCTCTTTCAAATGACTCCTTACATGGTATTCTGGTGCACCAACTGTTTTCCTTTTCTAGCCCACTTCAACACACAATACAGCTGAAGTTGCCTTAAACCATAGGTTCCCACAAGATTTCCTTCATACACGTACATATGGAGACAAAAAAAAAAAAAGGTGACTTTTTGCCCTATGTTTCTGTCTGACGAAGTCTGAGGCAGGACAGAATCTTCTTGAATGCTCTGAAGTCACGCGGGATGGGCAGATGAAAAAGTGACAGTCTTGTCAGTGGAGAACAGGGGGCGCAACGCGCAGGTTGCTCCTGAAGACAACTTCTGCACTGTATTTTGAGGTATTTAGGAACAAACAAACAAGCAGAGACACTTTGCTAGTTCTCCAGCCGTGATGAGGTGATTTCACAGACAGCAGCGTATTCATTTGTAAATGCCGCTAAGGCCTCTCTTCACCAACAGGCTTTTAAGTAAGTTGAAAATCTAGCACATGTAGTACCTGTTCCTCCGTTGCTGCCTATGGATAGATGTGGCAAGAGGCAGCAGGTGGGGGAATCAAGACTTGACGATAGAAAAGAAACCAGTTCCCCACCGCTAGTACTCCATGTGCCGGGCAAAGGATGACGACGACAGCGCTGGTTCAGAGGGGACTGATCAGCTACTGCTACGCAGAAGGAGAAAGCGTTCGGTTTTGTGCTCCGCACAGAAAGGCCTCTCTTGACCTGTGCGTTTTCAAGGAAGGAAAAACAAAGAAACGGAAATCTGGTGCAGCCCCCTGAGATGACCCCGACGCAGAAAAATACTCACGCTGGTATCAATACTGGTATCACAACTGCACTCACTTTCGGCAGATCTGCACCTCTTTGGCTGCGCTGGCTCAGCTGTGCCTGTTGCAGCTTTAGCACTGTGCTTCCTGAAGGGCAGCAGGTCAGTCTTCGTCACCCTTGACCACATCAGCCCCTTGTTGATGTTCCTTGTCCGAATGAGAAGGCAACGCTGGTCTTGGATGAGACAATGGCGGTTGCTATCAGAATGCCTCTTTGACTGCAACAAGGATTTTTTTTTCCCCCCTCCTTTTTAATTAATCAACGACGAGCACTGTATGCTGTTGTATGGGGGCAATGGCTGCCAAAACTTTCCCAGAAGTCAGATTTTCAAAAATCAGAAGTACTAAATACTTGCACCTCAGACTTTGTGCAGTCTGATTGTAAAGAGATTTATAGAAGGAGGTCAGACTGCATTCTGAGACTGATTTTACATTTCTTTTGCAAAATGACTGAAAACAAAATCTTTCCCACAATGTAGTAAGAAACACTTTAACAATTATACAGCATGTGTTAAACTAGGAAATATTATTTCATGTCAATATATTTTAATCATTACATTTACATCATTTACATTTATAAACCTAATACAAAATCACCCTCCTCCGTTACAGAACTATGTTATACCCCTGTTTTTACAGTATTCTCTGTAAAGCTTTCCACGTACATGCTTCTCTCTCTTCCCTTACCAAACCTATCCGTTTAGTGGACCCTCAATGCCACTCTCACTCACTTTTGCCGATTTACC